TTAGCCACGGGACAAAATAAAAGAATTATTTATACGACAGAAAACACACAAAATCTTTTTAAGTAACAAATACTTTAAAGAGCAGAGTATTATCAGTATTCTGACTCCTGTCCTGGACTCGAGTTACTCAGTACTCACAGGTGCAGATGCTGAAAGGTGCACCTGGAGACGCTGTTGAGTCATTTTAAAGAAACTTCTGGTTATGAATGCAGAAATTTTATTTATGGTTGTATTTTTTGAAAGTTTACCATCATTTTTTGTTCAGTCCTGTTTTAATATTATTTTTTTTTACATAATCAGCAGGGTTTTTTTGATCTTTCAGGAGGTAAATGGACTGATTGTTATATAGCACTATAACATGTCTCATTCACCTTCTTCTATGATTGTAAGTGCTTACTGACATTCACACACATCCATACTCTGATGGGTTGGAGAGCAACTTAGGGTTCGTATCTTGGCCAAAGGCCTGCAGGCCAGGTGGGGGTCGAACTCCCTCCTGAGCTTCTGGGGTTCGTATGCTCTGTAATACAGACACGTGTGACTACAGTGTAAGGAGGAAACATGAAATATAAATCTGTATCAGTGTTTTATTTTACCCAGATAATAAGACTTGGAGCAACCATCAGTGTGAGTACTGATAATAATATTGCAAAAGGACTGTAAAGCGAGCCGTATCAAACGTATCAACTGGATCTCGTGATCGTCATCGCTCAGGACGTCTCCTCTGTCAGGAAACAGAGGGGGGTCTGAGTCACCTGTGGAAGCCTCAGTTATTCAAACTGAACCAAAGTCTTCTTTATTTTTCTCCAACAAAGAGCAACTTCAGTTTCACCAGCGGACGTTTTGCACAGGTGGCATCTTATCGCAGCATCACGCTGGGGCTCCTGAGAGCGACACAAGTGTTTGTAGAAGCCGTCAGCAGGCCGAGGTGCTTGATTTGAAACACCTGAGTGATTTGGACAGGTGAGGGGATGCTTTTGGCAGAGCAGTTTGTTTTACACAAAAATAACAAATGTTACACTGAGTTACAAGTTTCCACCAAAGGTTTGGTTGCTCATGGTCATAACCTCATACGGGGGTAGCTCACATCAGCCATGTAGTCCGTCTATAATGAGTAATTGTAGTTATAGCGAGAGACAGGAAGTCTCGATCTGCTTCTCTAATTCTGTCTAAAGCTGCAGCCTGACTCCAGCAGGCTCCACATCAGGCCTGGCGTATTTAAACACATTTACGGCCGGACGTGACCCTCAGCAGCCCTCCGATGAACGTCACTGATGCGGGTTTGCTGCGAACTGCAGCCGTGATTTTCTGGGCTGCAGATCTGAGTCTGATGCTGCTTCTTTGAAAAGCTTAATGAGAGTCAGACTCAGAGTGTGATCCATCTACTGGCTGTTTATGCGATTAGCAAGCCCAGGCCTTTGTGCAGCCCTGTCTGCTCATGCTGTGTTTCTGTGCAGGCTCGTTTTTTTACTGCTTTACCTTGTTACGCACTGATCTTCATTCACATGAATGAAATAATGCACATCAAATACAAATGTAACTTCCAGCATGAATCCGAATGCAAAGCCGACTCTAAAAATATCCCAAAATTACTCTAAAGATGCTAAAACCCGGTAACGCTGCAGACAGCACCTGAGGGATAAAATAATCAGAGTGTAATTCAAGCGGAAAACTGAACTGTGAAGGCCTGAGACCTGTTTTAGGACTGAGCCTGTATCAGTGCAGAGACCTCACAGTCTGACACGAGTCCATAATCACACTGGCTGTGTGAAGGTTTTGCATTCAGCTGCAAACGTTTGGACCCTGACGTGTCTCGGACTGTGTGTCACTTTCATTTGGAAAGTCTGTCATTACTCCACATAACTAAGACACATGCTCCACCATAGACATTACTGCAGTTTAACTGAGGCTCAAATAGAGACAGAGCGTCACACAGAAGGAAGTCTCTCAGTCTGAAAAATGAGCCGATTATTTAGTGTCTTCATTAAATCAACC